CAAACTTTGACAATCCAGATTTTGAAATTTTTCAAGATGACTTCTGATCCTACAACTATGACTCTTACTATAATATATCCTGTCACCTTTAAATTACAACTTTCACTCAACTAGTGTTGTAATATTTTAGTTATTTTTCAATAAATGACTATTTCAAAAGACCTAGTTCTAACATTAACCTGTTTACTCACCTTAACCAATCATAATGTAACCAGTTTGCTATCTTTAGTGTTATAATACAAACAGAGATATAGTTAATAAAATGTTTTGCATTAGAACTTAGTTCCTTAAAAGAAAACTTACGTACCTCATTTCAAAATGAACAATGGCACCTACTACAAGAGGGAAAATAAAGAGTTTGGAACCAATCCTTTGTTTTCTTTTGCTGATTTAATAACCTGAAGAAAGCAATAGGGGAGTTATTAAACATAGGAAAAGAGAGTACTACTAGAAGCAGTACTATAGCCTCAGAGTTCCTCTTTAGTTAAAACCACACACAACAAAAGATGTGAGGGCTGGCTGAGTGGCTGGGTTGGTTAGTTGGGTGGCTCAGTTGGTTAGAGCGCGAGCTCTGAGCAACAGGGTTTCCAATTCAATTCCCACATGAGCCAGTGAGCTGCACCTGAGCTGAGCTGCCGTTGAGCTGGTGAGAGCGCGTGCTCTTAACAAGGTTGCCGGTTTGACTCCCGCATAGAATGGTGGGTTGTGCCCCCCACAACTAAGATTGAACACGGTACATTGAGCTGAGCATCTGCAAGCTGCCAACGGCCGGATGGCTCAGCTGGTTATAGCGCATGCTCTTAACAACAAGGTTGCCAGTTCAACTCCCACATGGGATGGTGGACTGCGGCCCCTCCTCCCCACCTCCCTACCCCCACCCTGCAACTAGATTGAAAGCAGCGACTGGACTTGGAGCTGAGCTTGCACCCTCCACAACTAAGATTGAAGACCAACAACTTGACTTAGAGTTGATGGGTCCTGGAAGAACACAATGTTCCCCTTCCCCAATTCCCCAACACTATTCCCTTCCCCAATTACCCAATAAAATCTTTAAAAAAAAAGATGTGAAATATTTGTAACTTGCTGAAATGAGAAGTTTTTGATACTCCTGATTGGAAACAGTAATTTCTATTCCAACAAGTCTGAGAATCAATGATGGGAGAGGTAAGGGAATTTAAAAACTACCTGTGCTATACTACCAATATTACAACATGGAGCTCTAAGATTGATTTTCCACAATCAGACTCTAGAAGGCTCTCCCCTGGCCATTCACTCCTTATTATTTGTGCTTCCTCCATACATAGTAAGTTCCATTGAGGACAGGCACTGGACAGTATCTATCTCTATATCCTACCTTGAATCACAGCACATAATCACTCAATAATGAATACTATAGATGGTAACCAGAATTTTAAAATGGATAACATCGGGCCAGCCAAGTGGTGCATTGGTTAAGAGCTGGCTTGGGACATCAGCTCTGAGCAGCAGGGCCCCGGTTCGAATCCCACATGAGGAGCAGTGACACTGCCCTCTAGAGCTAAGATGCTGAACAACAACTCAACCTGGAGCTGGGCTGCCGTGAGTCGCCAGCGATGGCGTAGGCTGCAGGCCCTGCTGCAGTGGGCTGTCATAAGCTACCGTGAGTGGCCGGCAGCCAGCGTGAGCGGCCAGCAGCCGGTGTGAGCTGCCAAGAGTTGCCGTGAGCAGCTGTCCAGAGGCCGGCGACCGATCTGCCTCAGCAGGGAAGAGCGCAATGATCACAATACCAACATGGGCCAGTGAAGCGACGTCCTCCACAACTAGACTGAAGAACAAAAGGACAGCAACTTGTCTGTT